TATATTGGGTTTTAAGGATAAGAATGAGATTGAAGTTTTGGAATGTAATGATGAGAGTGATGATGCGTATTCGAGCTCGTTTAGTGGAACGGTTTCTGATCATGAAGATGATACAGCTTTGAATGATCAAGAAGCTGATTCCATGATTTGTACTGATAATTCTCTACCATTCTCGGTGAAGTAAGAGCTCCTTTCTCGCGCTTTTAAATGAGTTTTTATTTCCGTATTAGCCGCGTTCTGGGTTCCATGAGTGTTTTCGTAGATTCTTCATGGATTTGGTAGCTTGTTTTAATTGAACACACCATTGATTCCATCTTTGTGTGCTTGATTCTGAAAGGACTGAAATTTATGAGTTACTTTAGTACGACTTAGTTGTGTCTCTGATGTATATCCTTTTAAGGAAGTCGGAATAAGATTTGCTCTATTTTGTGAATTTGGTATGCAATTTATTTATTTTTGTTCCTCTATATGGCAGAAAGAGGAAGTTGACTGATCATTGGAGGAGGTTTATACAGCCTATAATGTGGCGGTGCAAATGGATTGAACTCAAGATCAAAGAAATTCAGAACCAAGCACAGATATACGACAAAGAACTCGAAGAATCTTGCCAAGCCAAACAATTGGAGTTAGAAAATGTTAAATCAGAAGAACTTGGAGTAAAGGCAGTACCCCCTCTCCCGTGCCATTCTCAGAAAACCCAACTCAAGAAGAGGAAGAAGAGAAAGCGAGTCGAAGGTACCTCAGATGTTGCATCCTATACGCTGAACCATAATCTTTTCTCATACTACGGTAAGTTTAGGTTCTTTTTTTTTTGTCGTGCTGAATGTTCGTTTGCCATTACTTCTCTAATAGTTCATTTTCCCCGTCTCTGGTCTATTTGTAGAATATCGGAAAACTTTTGCCGATATTGCTCTCAATGATAACTCCCGCAACCTAGGTATGGTGTTCTGAACCTCAACTTTGAGATGATCTTAATTCTTTAGAAAACTTTGATCTTAAGAATCTTTTCTTTTTTTGACATTGGTCATCAGATAAACGGAATAAGATCACTAAGGATGAGACAGGTTTCTGTGACGAGACACCGCCTCTCGAGTTTAAAGAAGGCGATGCATTCTTGGAAAACATACTCTTGAAGATTGAAGCAGCGAAGTTAGAAGCCCGTAACTTGAAGAAACGGGTAGACAAGGTGGTGAATGAAAATCCAAGTAGATTTTCTTTGGTTAACACATTGAATCTGCTTGGATCTGCTGATGTATTCACCAGCGTAGAACAACAAAATCCCCTATTGGTTATCAAAAATGAAGATGAGAGACCGGTCATTTTTGAAGAAAAACCGGTTAAATCTGCTTCAGTTTCATCTCATCACGACACACCACCTGAAGATGAAGAGACAACAGATATTTTGTTGTCTGAAATTGTGGCTTCAAGGCGAAGAGCAGGGAAAGCTATTGTTCCCGATAAGAAGGAACAAAAGTCAGAACAAACGTCGGTTAAGGAAGGTCCATCAAGACCTGTAAGTTTCTGTGTGGAGCTTCACAAAAACCCATTATGCCTTTTGGTCTTACAAAATCCCTTTTAACACGATGCAGGCAAGGAAACGAACACCGCGCAATCTTGAGGTGGTGACGAACCCGAAGAGACCTAGAGTTTCAAGAGAGAAGCCAAAGTCAAATGTGATGGCTTCTAGGTATAAGCTTCCCAACAGGCGAAACCGAGGAAAACGAAGGTCGGGCCCTGCCGGATTACGAAGAAGATCCTAAGAAGCTTTGGAAAATTTGAAGAAACAAAACGGATCTTGGGTTTAAAAGTAAAGTGTGTATGATCATTCTACACACCCTTGAGCTTTAAAGTACAAAGAGATATATCTATATAGAATCGGTGTGTTTTGATTCATGTTAAAAAAACTCATCATCAATCTATTTAAACTACATGATGCTGTTTATGTATTTATGACTATAACTAAATCAGCTTTGGAGCAATTAGTGTTGCAATCTCTTTTTCTAGGTAAAAAATAGGAGAGTTAAGAATGGTTAATTTAAAACATTATTTCAAATACATTCTCCTTGAGAGTTTTGCAGAGACAATGGCTAAAATGGTGACCGTAGGGACGAATATAACATCAGGTATGAGTTTGATTATCTTCAACTGTGGAACATTCTCTCCTGCTCTTTTCGCAGCCATAGCCGCCGGTGGGGATACTATTCCCGTGATCATAGTGACATCATCGAGTTTACTCGCCTTAACGCTCTTCGCCATGAACTCTAAGAACACTGTTTTCTTCTCTTCTTCGCCTTTCGCTTCCTTCCACAGCGTGAAACAAGCCTGTAATTAGATCATTTGCAACAATTGTGTTAAGCATTTTAGAGACCATTGTGTGTTTAATGCGATTTTCATGAGCGAAAGGACTCGCCTTTATCTCGTCCGGGGTAGGGAAGTCGAAGTGCCTGCCTGGTAAAGCTGAGTTGAAGTTGCTGCACTCAGTAGATCAGATAGTTATGTACAAATCATTAAGAATTATTTTTGCCAATAACCTAGGCTAATTCCGGAGTTTCTAACCATTTTTATGAAGACTATACTCATTGTTTCAAAGACTGATCAAATGGAATTATTGGACTACAATCATATATGTGATTAAGAAGTTGTGATTTTGAGACTATTCTTACTTAAAGATGTCTAAAACGGCAACGTGAAAATCGTCGAAGTTGTTGATAGCTTTTTGGGTAAATTGTTTGTAGAGTGAACCCATTACCATATTCATCATTTGCGTCGGTGGTAACCCTACGCCAAAATACCAAAATCATTTTTATACAAAAGAAATAAAAATAAGACGAAAATTTATTAAAGATTGTCGTATTTATCGTTTAAGAGTTAGGTTTAAAGAATTGCAAAACCTTTTCCGAGAAAACCCATTGAACCTCCCATATTGTTTGGAAATTAAGTCATTAGGTGAAAAAAGTGTTATGTATATATATATTTGTAATTGATGTGTGAAATAAGTGACTTGGCTTGGTGGGTTTTGGGTCTTTTGCAAAGACAAGATTCGAATCGAGAAGTCTCTACACAAGACCTTGGTTTAAGTATATAACTTGTGCTTTCTAGGTTAATAATTACATAAACTTTGTTAGCCTTTGGTTTATACATACTTTGATGTTTCTTAATTAAGTCTATGGAATTTATTTACCTATGCTAAAAAATGAGTATAGTCTTGTGAATCTTTTTCATTTCTTCACTACGGAGTAACGTACTTTTAATTAAAGCACGGGGAATGACTTGTTCTCCTCACCCTAGTTTCCTTTATGTATAGGCTTCTAGAATTGGATTTTAAAAAATCATTAATTTGATTGAAATTTTCAATTTCTCTTATGTATGTTTTTTTTAAAAGGTTAACCAATCGAGTATTAGTTTTGGACTGAAGTCTCAATTCCGTATATTTATTGTCAAGAAACATTTTTTCTTTCTTTCAAGCAGAAATCGAATTAAAATGCTCAAGAACACGCAATTTTCAAAAAACTCAAGAATTCGACCATAGCTCAAAATTCATATGGTGAATTTTTGTTTTTTATTAAGTACTTGTTAGTGTTGGTTTGGAGTAGGAAATACAACCAAACTAATTAGTAGAAAACTATTTATGTTATAACAATTTATGTTAAAAAATTTTTTTTTGAAGTTCTATGTAAAATACTCTAACAAGCAATGTCTAATATTTTTATTAGCTAGACTCTCTTGTATTTGCCTATTTGGTTAGAGACTAATAAGCAATGTCTAATATTCGAATTAACGGTAACCTTATGTAATACTTCTCTTCTCTCTACTTTTTGCTTACCAATTTATCAGCTGTCAATGGATTTTTTTTTAATTTTCAAATATAATTCTCTTAGGAAGAAGACAAGAATATGAATGTAACAACTTGGTAGTTACAACAAAAAAAAACATTGTATTATATAATTGGATCCATACATGTCCGGTAATAAATTTTAGACAGTTCATTTATAGCAACGACACGTGAGTTAATTACTTGACAGGTATGGATCCAATTAATACTAGTATTTACCAATTCTTCCTTTTAAAAAATTTAAACTAAGATCCAACTAATTAGCTGACACTTTCATATTCGCAGAAAAGCATTTTCAATTGTAAATTTACTTTTTAAGGATTGATAAAGTAATCGTAAATTTGCAATTAATTGGTAAAATAATATGACAAGTCGTGTGTTTATAAGTTTAAGTTACTACGTATATAATGTTCTTGGTTTTATTCTTAACACCATTCTTTAATGAACCTTTTATTAATTTAGTAGTCCGCGTCCAAATTTCTAGTGTTATTCTTAACAATTGTATACTCAAAAGTAAATTTGTTTGGTAATTTAGGATTTGAGTTCAAAATTTTGCAAATTTGTTTGGTAAAGAATATAGATCTTTTACTGTCCAAATCTTATATAGTACATGCAAAACGTATGCCAAAATTCATACAATTGGTACTTATTGATTCATTACAGTAAATGTACGTAAGAACATTGTTAGTAGCTGTTAAATTAGTGATTTCGCTACGTAACTATCTAAATTTCATATATACATTATACAAATTTAATCACACGACTCTAAAACAATAACATAAACTTTATATCACATTATGTAATTCACATGTCATAGTCAACGTCTATAAAATGGTAGTCTTTTGCATATTGTTTATAGACGTGCACAATGACATTATTTAGAGTAGATGTCACATAATTTAATATATAAATTCTGCATTTGAATTGTATTTGTATGGGTCATTTTCAGTGAAGAACTCGGACCCATCACTAAAGAGTATTGTCTGCGAAAAGAAAAGAACAATCAATGTGTATACTAACAGTATCATCACTGACAGATATGAAATTTCTTATTATTTCCATATATATAAAATAAAAACAAACTGTATCAATTAAATAAATAATACTCATACCAAATTCGTAAAGAAAGAGACAATAATGGTAGGGTCAAAAACATAAAATCTATATAAAAAAAAAAGTGTGGAAAAGATTAAATAATTTAAAGCGCCATAATGAGAACGGCCCACGCGGTTGCAACCGCTCCCACCGCTACATTCCGCAATACTCTATTGCTTTCTGCTCCGCTCTGCATTAATTCCATTTTTTCATCTTAGCAAAATGAATATATAAATTGCAAAATAATTACAGCTAAAATAGAAATGTACGTATCATTTTTGAAATGTCTCTTAAATTAATTGAAACATTGTTAATTGTTTTTATTTATTAAGATCATAAACTAAAATCGAAACTAATCCTATACGTTTATGAAAAGTTTTAATCATTTAAAAGTTAAACGTTTAGTTTCAACATTTTAGGCTAAAATTCTTTTACAAAAAAAAAACATTTTAGGCTGATGTACCTGATCGTCGGCGGATGTAGACGGACCGGGAGAAAATGCGTCGGAGTTAGGTCCGGGAGCTTCCATCGGTGGTGCAGGTGGACCAAGAAGTTCAGGAGCCGGAGCCGGTGCACTTTGATGCTTCTTAGACTTTTTAGCCTTCTTCTTATGCTTGCTTGGAGCCGGAGCCGGTACATCAGCAACCGGAGCAGCTACCGGAGCCGAAGGAGTATCAGCTTCCGGTGCTGGAACCGGTGGAGAACTAACCGGAGCAGAAGCCTTTGGTGCAGGAGCTGGAGGAGAGCTCTCCGGAACAGGAGTCGGTGGTGATGAAGAGGTCACCGGAGCCGGAGATTTCGGTGTCTCCACCGGTGAAGAAGCCGGAGTTTTCGGTGCTTGGACCGGTGAAGAAGCCGGAGCTTTCACCGGAGCCACCGTAGGAGAAGTAACGGTGGGTGATTTAGAAGGTGAAGTAGTTGGAGCAGAAGGAGATTTAGTCGGAGATGAGATCGGAGATTGGCCACCGACACCGGCGACTACAATGCAGATCAATGTAGCAATCAAAACGAAATTTCGATCCATAATTTGGCTAAATTAGAAAGAGAGAGTATGAGTGAAAATGTAACTAGCTAGTGAGTTATTTTTAACAAAAGTGTGTTGTTTTGGTGAATGAGAAGTGAGTTTTCGTGTATATATATAGAAGATGAGAAGAGATATGGACCGTTGGATTGAAAAATGGACCACATACAGATGTAGCCGTTGAGAAAACAGAGCGTAATATCCTGTTATCTATTAACGTACGGACTCAATAAAGCTTTATTATATTTTTTGTAGTATTTTTTTTATAGGACATATTAGTTTTTCTCCTTTTTATGTAAAATAAACTTGGCATTTTCATTTGTTTTGTTATGCGATAAATTGATGCGCCGATTGTGGGTAGTTTATATAGCATGTGTTTGTTAGACTATAGTAAATGTTTAGATTCAAATGTATAATTAAGTGGAGTCTCGTGTTGTCATATTATAAATGGATTTGAAAGTGATTAGTGATTACCAATGTTGCTCACACATTAATAATTGTCTAATTTTCATGTTTTTAATTTATTTATTAGAAAATGTATCACGGTCTAGACATATTTCCAACTACCAAATTTTATTTTGTCGGGAAATTATTAGTTTATAAAAAATAGCAAATATAACGTACATTGTATTGAGGATATATTTGTTTTGGTACGTTGGATGTATTTGTGGAGCAAAGGATCAAGAGGGGTGAAAATATTATAGACTATAGTTCAATGAATTATAATGTTAATAATGGAAAAATTAATAAACTCGAATGCATAATAATGTAATTAATTAAGACAATG